AGAATGATGAGGGTTTATTATCATTATGTAGAAAACGACCGCAGAGAACCTGTCGACTCAAGAAAGCATTTCTAAGAGATGGTAATACAAAGATTTTGAACCAATAAACTCTTGCAACCTTTTCATTTTGAACATTTCATTTGTGCGGGAATTGATTTGAAAGTGAAATTAATAAACAGCAAATATGATTGTTATTGTTATCTCTACTTTAAAAATGTAAAATCTAAATAATGAATGTCAATATAGCACATAAGTTTCTCGACAGCAATTATGTTATGTTAGCAAAGTTTTGGACATGCACTGCACTTCAGGTTGATTTATACCAAGTCTCTTGAAAGGATTTATTAGCATGAAGAATAAATAGTGAATCAAGAGCAGAGCAACCCCGCACTAGTAAATTTTCAGGGAGATGCCTTGGATCTCCAGTTAGTTCAGAGTGATTCTGTCCTTGGAATAAAACAAGACTACATAACCCTTAGGAGAGCCAGTGGTCTTCAGCTCTTTGCCCCTCTGCTTCTCTCCTTTGCTCAGTCATAGCTGTGAGATAAGTTGGATCTGCTCACACATACAACCTAGAGCAGGCATGCATGGCTGAACTGAAAGGGGAGGCAGATCAATGGCAGCACTGCAGTCAGGTCTGCCTGAGCTAAATAAAACTAGTGTTACCTACTCCAGCGTCTATATGCTCTGTATACTTGAGGATAGATGCCTCCTTGTTAATGACAGATGGCTTTCTAAAAATGTGATTTTATCAAACAGTGCTTAACTAAGCTATCCATATAGGCATATTCACAGATATAAGGTATTTTCTAATAACTTCTTTTTTTTTAAAGTCTTGATTTATACTAGAGGAGGTTATACACAATGTGTTTTAAATGGGTGCTTTTAAAATAGATTCCAAGTATGAGATTCATGAGGGAAGCAGAAGACGAATCAGTACTTACAAGTTTAACAATGTCTTTAAGATCTGTTTTTTCCATGGCCACCTTTGACTGCTAACTTAATTCTGCGTGCTCTAACGTAGTTCTCAATCATACTGGGCAACAGCACTGCCCAAATTCTCTCAGTAAGAGAGAATTCTGCATTTAAATTTAGAAGCTTTTGCTTTATATCTTCATTTTGTTATTAACATCTTCTTTTTCAAAAGTGTTACAATTTGGCCCTAGTTTTCTGTTGTATTAAGTTCTGCTACTTGCAATGGAGTCTTTCTGAGACTGTTAGCAGCTAGCAAATTTGTTTTTTCTCCTTGTGACCAGTTTATGAGGGAATTTGCAGCATTAAAATGACCAGCCTTGCACGCACAATGCAGCGGGGTATCCTTGCTGCTGTCCAAGGCATTAATGGCTGCCCCATAGCTCAGTAATAATTTTGTCAAGTCGCTGTGTCCATATTCTGCTGCAATATGCAATGCAGTCTTCCTCCAAACATTTCTATCATCAATGATTTTATTTTTCCCTGATGTCAGAAGAACTTTTACGATCTCCGTGTTTCCTTTGATGGCTGCATAATGCATCGGAGTACATCCATTCATGTCCTTAGCTCCAAATCTTCCTCTTTTAGATAACAGAACTTTCACGATACTGAGGTGTCCTCTCACAGCTGCGGCATGCAAGGGAGTCTTTTTCTCCTTGTCTTGCACCTTGGGATGGGCAATAGCATTCAGAAGCATCTCTACCGTTGCTTTGTCTCCCCTTTCAGCAGCAAGATGTAAAGGTGGTTTTGACTCCCTGTCCTTAACGTTAACATGGGCTTTGTGGTGCAGCAGCTGTTGGACAACATCAGTGATACCTCTTTGACTTGCAATATGCAGGGGAGTACTAAGATCTTTAGTGATAGCGTTGATTTTGGCCCCAGCATTAACTAAAAGGCCAACGAGTGCTCTTTCATTATGAAGAGCAGCAACATGGATTTTATCGGCTTGGTTCACAAGGTTAACATCCACCCCTTTGTGCAGAAGCAGATTTGCAATGGAAGCGGCCCCAGCTTGAACTGCCAAATGCAAATCCGTGTCTGAAGTGGGAGTCTTTGTGACCAAGTTTGCTCCCTTCTCCATCAGAACCTCTGCTGATTCAGCTTTGCCTGTTTCACATGCCAGGAGTAGAGGGGTGTACTGCATTTCATTGCAGGCATTTATGTCTGTACCTCTGTCAATTAGAGCTGCTACGATACCATGCAGATTTTTCTGTACTGCTCTAAAAAGAGCTGACTCCGTTATGTCAGATGTCAGATCTTGAGAATAGTCTATTAGTATTTTGAAGATGGATGAGTGGTTGCTGCTGAAAGCTCTTTCGACCATATTGGAAACGACACTGGCTCCAGCTTCTAGCAGTACTTTTGCAGTATCTTTAGACCCCTGAGAAACAGCATAACTGAGAGCAGTCTGTCCTCTTTTATCCTTTCGATCAGGGGAGGCACCAGCCCTAAAAGCATTTTTGCCAGACTGCTCTCATCTTTAAGAGCTACCATGTGCAAAAAGTTGTGCTGATTCCTGTAGCTTCTTCTCTCCTCTTTCAGGAACATCTTCAGTCTGTGGCTGTGGTTATTGTGTGCAGCCAGGTGAAGCGGTGTCTTGCCTTCCATATCCAAACTGTAGATAAAACCACCATGTCAGAGAAGCATTTCTACTGCATCATCATGGCCTTTCTCAGCAGCCCTGTGCAGTGGTGTTCTTCCTTTCTTGTCCTTCGCATCTATCTTTGCACCTTTCCTGATCAAATATTCCATTATTGTTAGGTGTCCATTATCGGCTGCAACATGCAGAAGTGTTTCATTTGAAGAATTTAGTGCATTAATATCATTATCTTTTAATGTTTCCTTGAGCTCAGAAATACAGCCTGTAGCAACTGCATCAGAGACACCAACATCAGCATGATCTTTTTTTGCTGCCCTTGAAAGTTGAGTTTCTTTTCCTTTCTTCTTAATAGCCCGTTCTTGCTTTTTTCTTCTTGGACTGTCTTTTTTTCCCTGGTGCCATTCGCTGCTTTTTTTCACACCAAACCTTGTCTTTTTCAAGTAAATATCTTACCAGTTGTCCTCTAGCATCTCCAATGCTTTCATTTACTTCACTGACATATTTTCTCATCTTCCTATGAAGTTTTGGCTCCGATTGCTTTAAACATGGATAAAAAAAGAGCCTGCAAGCTCGTTCACCTTGAGAAATCAGTGTGTCTAAAATTCGAGAGTTCTTTTCTGTTCGTGTCCTGTAGAAACTCATGACCATCCTTTTTTCTCAGGTAAAAATGCCATTGTCTATTAGGCTGTTCAGAATATGGTCTGAGTCGTTTATGCCTTCTACTAGCTCTTCTTTTTTAGTTCATAGGACATCAATTGAGTATGGGTTTGTAAACAGGCTACTTGAATGCAGGCTCATGTTACTATCAAAAAATGAACCAAGCTGTTGTTTTATATTTAAAAATGAAATAGCAAAGCAGGATCACATCATTTCACATTGTTTTCATAGAACTATGTAGTGGTAAATCTTTAAAGAAAGGAATCAAAACTCCCTCACCTTTGATTTTCTAGTTGTTAGAAGTCCTTTGATCATCTCTGTTCTTCCTTAACAACAAGTGAAGTTTAATAACAAAATAAAATCTGTGGTATGTAAAGGTATTCCACTTGGAAGACCCCTTCCAGATACTTTATGGAAAGTTAGGGAGAAAAAAAAAAGCTTCTGTGAATCTGATACTTGAATAGAAGATACTTGTTTATCAAGTTCCTCTGTTCCTTTGGCCAAGCAGATTTTTGTAGGTGCCTAAATGACTGAGCTATTAAATATGACAAAAGAAAATTCACAGCATAGTTACGGTTGCCATGATTACATACCTTGTATGATCTTAAATGAAGGAGTACACATTGCCAGCCACTTAGGTGAGAGCTCTATAGTGTAATGAAATGAAAACACAGACTATGATAAAAATAAACTGTGTAAGCGGCTAGTTGTGAAAAGTGACCCAGCCTTTCTAACAGAGTTACAACTTCAGTCCATGAGGTATATTTAACTTGAAGGCTCCTTAGCTTGTCATTCCTGCTATAACCTGGAGTCTGTCTGGAACTTAATTCTTTTCATGAGGTGGATCAAGGCGTGTGATTCAGTACGCAACATTTAAAGTATAATTAAACAGAGCTTCAAATCTGTGAATATGTATAGTCTTTGCTGTAACTGTAGGACCTTTGAATCTAGCTGTAATTAATTTAACTTATTGGTGTTAAAATTCTTTATGGAGAGAAGGAAATAAAATAATCATATACACATTTTGAAACCAATTGAGAGAGAAATTGAGATTATAGAGTTCTGTAAGAGCTAGAAGTAAAATGAGCTGAAAAATTGAAAGCTTGACCTTATTTAAGCAAATGGGAAATTTGCCATCTGCTTCTTGGTTCAGTTGGGTTCTGCTGCCTTTGCATGTATTTTCTTTAATAGTACATACAATATGACTGATAAGATTTTTCATTTTTTTCTGTTGACTTTAGTTTTATAACTAAGATTGCAAAGCTTATTCTATTTTAAAAGAAGATTTATTGAAGAAATAGATGGGAAAGGCAAGACTTTTAATATATATTTTGAAAGCTAGCCAGTACCAAGTTAGCAAATTTGACAGCTAATTTAAGAGCCCAATAATTCCTCTGAAATGCAAAGAAGGGCACTACACCAAGAATTGCAAACCCTTTGTCATTTAGTTAATGATTGTTAAGGCATAACATGGAAAACTATGGTTTATTGTAGGGAGTCAGGAGGTCTGAATTGTGTTCCCAAATCTGCTAATGACTCAGTCTGTGATCTGCAAATTATTTAGTCTTCAGATTTGACTTAACAAAGTACTAAAGATTATCCATGTCTTAAGTAAATTAATATACTGTACTTAAACTTTGGTGAAATAGGATCTTTATGTCATCGTTATTTTTCCCATGCAAAATAGGGAAAGCAATACTTGATTACCTTCACATGCAGTTTTGAGTTCTGGCAGTGGAAAATGTTAACGCGAGTGCTGGGTCGTGTTATTAACATAGACAGCACAAGAACTTTTGGAACTGCTGAAAAATGTAAAGACAGAAATTGTGATGTTCTTTAGGAAACTATTAGTATGGCGGTAATTCCCTAGTGTTCTGGATACAGAAATTCTAATAGTGAACAGTACAAATGAAAGGGTGCAGTACTCCTCACTGGCCTTGAGGAGGAACATTTTAACAATATATACAGGCAGCATCTCTTTCAGAGACACTGTGGGAGCTTTTGGGAGAATAATATGCAGCAAATTACTTGTTACTAGATGTGAATCACAGTCTTCCAATTATAATTAAGCAGTTTTTAAAATTCATCGTTATAGGTATATGACTTAGGAAGTAATTCTGTCTTAAAACAAGAATCACATCTGATATGAAAATTTTGGAAGCCTTTTGTATGGATTCTGTTTCAGAAATTTTTGTAGTATGGATTCTGTTTCAGAAATTATGTTTTAAAACCTTTTATTTTTTAATTAATATTTTAACTACTTTTGTAATTAAGCCTTTGTTTCAACAACTACTTCACAAAAAGTTTAAAAACCTAAACAGTCGAGAAGAGATCCAGAATTGGCTATTTGAAGCATGCTTTTTGCTTATGTCTTTTTAAAATATTTATTTGACATACAAATTTTGTAGAGAAAGGAAAAATGTTAAGGTTCCACACCTCTTCTTCTTTAACTAAGTGCATGAGACCACAAATGCATAGGATCACCAGGAAGGTTTTCATTAAAAATAAAATATTAGTAAAGATCTAAGAAAAGAAATAAGTTGGAGAGAAGAAGAGGCCAAGGCAAATCTTTGGCTTTGTTATTTTTTAAATTTATTTGTTGTCTGAGGGTCATAAGGTGATTTTTTTGTTCTTGCTAAGTACTCCACAGGTCACTTCTATTTCCAGTGGTTTCTTTAGCTGCATGTATCCAAGGATGCTTCCTTATTAGGTTATTTTGAAAAGAAAATGATGGGGTTTGCTTCTGTGTTCTTTCTGAGATAGCACTTACGGATCTTTGTGTTCAGTAGTATGGGCGTATAGCATTAAGGAAATGTTATGTTTTACTCTAGAAGAACATAGTAAAAAGTTCTGATTAGTACTTGTGCAGGTTTAGCTTGAACAGCGTTGCTGGAGAAACGTAATGCTATAGGTGTGCTGATCGTATTTTAATTCAGTGTTTTTATCAGGAAGTTTGTGCTGAGTAGATTGTCATGATACAGAAATGCTGAAAATCTTCACATAGACCACTTAAGCTCTGATATCATTGTTAAATGCAGAAGTAAGACTCTGTATGTGTAAGATTACCTTAGTTCAGATAGATCTATGATATATAGTTGGTGCTGACTTTGTGGGAGGATATTCGGCTGAAAACGTGGTAGAGTTTAGAGCAGGCCATAAAAAGGGCAGATGATGCTATTGACAGGACAGATTTCTGTTTCAGCCTCTGCTGAGTAAGGGTGCATGGGGAGCTGGTTTAACCCACCTGTAGCTGGAGGCTTGAGCCAGTTGTTTCTGACACGCAATCTCAGTTTTGCTGCTAACTTGTGTCCTTGGGCAAATCACTTAATCTCTGTGCCCTGTTTACACAAGCATTAAAAAAGGAAATTTTTCTTCTACCTCACAGACATGTCCTAAGTGTTCATTAATGTTGGTGCAGTGCTTTGAAGTTATAGAGTGCTTTGAAGTGTTTGTCCTTTGAAGTATTGTTTTCTGACTTCTCGAAGATGAACATTTATTTCTTAAATTAACACGTGCCCATATTTTCTAGCTTATTTTATGCTGCTATGTCATCATCAAATAAACATTTAATTTTCTCTATTTTCATTTCTCAAAGATGAAAGCAACCCAAACTGCACCTTGCATGTTGCTAAATGACCGTGTGAGGTGCCGGGGTCTGGGAGCGAGGAACCTGCAGAGGTCACCATTTCTCCACCGAGGCATGTGGCGTGTAATTCGACAGAATGACTTCCAGTAACTTCTAATGCCCTTCGGGGCATTTTCTTGATAGAATTGATGGAAAGCCAGACATTAATGATACAGTTTCACTCACCATGATATTTTTATGTTTCCCAGTATGTACTTTAATTTCATTTAAGACGATTGCTTGCAGTACCACCAAGTGTTTATTAGGAACATATCTCGCTGTAGAATAACTAGAATGGAGGAGATAATAGAGCCAATGTCATTATCTAAACATCAGGAGGGATGGAGAAATACATCTGGGTTATCAAGGCATTCTCATTAATAAAAATGGCTCAGGAATAAAGCTTTGTTTTGGATAACCAGAAATCTAAATGTGGCCTAGCCAGTTGAAGTTGAACCATATTTAGGTATAGCTAGATGGACAAAAAAGTGTTCTAAGTGTCCATGGTGATGATTAGAGTGTACTTCACTTATAACACTGGAAGAGAAGCTGACTAGTCAGAATGTCTGCAAGACAGACAAAATGTAGTGCTTTGTTTTGCCTAAAGATCGACTGCAGTAAATTAGGAAGTCAAAAGGGGAGCTTTGGCACTGAGTGATCTTGTCTGCGTTAGTCCTGTCACTGTAGAGAGCAGGCTTGGGGCCTTCCTGGTGCTGAGAAATCTCTATCCTGGCTGGTATTTTACTGGTAGATGTTCCCTCAAGCAGTGCTGTCCTTGTGGTACTGGCACGCACAGAACCACGGTACCATCAGGACTCCAGCTGGGGCTGCTGGAGCAAGGGGAAATCAGAGCTGTCCAGTCTTGTGGTTGGCGTCTCGGACTAGTATGTGCTCTGGGCTTTTGTCTTGCCCTCTCTGCAGCTTATGCGCTGGCAGGGCATAACCACCCCTGCAGAGTCCTGTGTCGGGTCCTGTACTTACCTGTACTCGCAAGGTACCTCTTGTACCTGTACCGCAATGTACAAGCGGTACCTTGCAGAACGCACAGCTGCCCAGCTTTGTCCACTATTCATGGACATTTTCAAAATACAGCAGCTCATAATAATTCAGATATTTTGTTCTCTTTTCAATACAAGTCACAATGTTGTCCCAACACTATAGTACTATTTCCTCGAGTATAAACAAAGGTCCTGTTCAGCACTACACCCATGTAACGCAAAATGTTCTTTTTTTCCAAAGATTAGCATACACTGCTATGAAGTTCTCAACCTGAGGTACTTGTAACTGGCTAATACACCTCTGCAAAGTGCCACTGATGGCTGTAAACACTGACAGAGCAGGATGTCTCACTGGAGCAAGCTGTGGCAGTGAGACTTCACTCACATAACTCAGCCAGAGTAAGGTTTAGGATTGTTTTTCAGTTTGCCATGCATGGGTTAGTGAAGTTTAAGAAGAGTGACCATGCTGCTTAGAAAATATTTTTTGCTATCCAGGTTTTCAAATAATTATATTTAAGTATTTTCCAGAGTTCTTCATGGAATTACTTGGTACGTAGTTCTTTGTGAAGCTATATAGTACAGGTAGAAGGAAAAACTTTCTAATTTAGCTTCACAAAGCTAAAAAAAAGCAGTGTTCCTGTTTCAGAACATAATAAATAAAGTTGGTTTGGAACAAGCAGGAAAAAATGTTTGTGGTAATACAATGAAGTGTATATTTAGTTACTGCAACATTTATAATGCAAAGTAAAAGAAGAGAAACATTACAATTTTTGTGTCTAAGTGATGAGCATTAGTAGTTATTTGTTTTTATACATATTTATTCTGCAGTCTCTACTGTCACAAGCTTAATTTAAATTTAAGAACTGTTAATCTATTGACTAAATCTGAACACTAATACTGATTTTACTAATGAGGCGATACCATTTTCTAGTGAATTGGCTTGAAGTTGTATCAGTGTCACGATTTTTATCTTATAACTTTATAGGTTTTAATGTGTCCTTTCAAACCAATGCTAACAGAAAGCACTTATAGCAAAATGTTAGCCCTCATGTCATTAGCGTAAAAGTATTAAGTTACTAAATGCTGATGCAGCTTCAAGGATCAGTAAAACCAGAGAGGGCCAGAGTTTTTCTCCAAAACAGGCAGATTTTTTTTCCATTTTAAACCAAACAAGCCCCTGTGGTTTTGAGTCAGGAACATACACTTTGTCAGTGAAATCTTCCAGAAGGGAATACTTTATAGAGATTCTTCAACTGTTCAAGACCAAGATCTTCCTTACCTTCCCTGTGATCACTGGGCTAACCTTACTGGCAGCATTACTCCCAGAAGGTGAATATGGTGGTGCTGCTAGATGTCCCACAGAAGCCTTTTGGCCAAATTTGCTTTGTAGGTGTAATTTGTGAACGACGATTCTGAATTTATACCAGTACACAAGCAGAATTTTGGTTTTACTGTTTATAAAATGCCATAGATATGACTAGAGACTAACGTGACTTTGAAAGAAAATAATGTTTTGCCACATCATAATCCAGTTTTAATTGCTATTATTTTTGAAGTTATTACAGTTGGATGTCAAGCATCAGACACAGTACAGATATTTACATAAACAATGTCTTGCTAATGAAGTCTTCACACACACATTTTGAAATTTTGCCTTCTCTGAGGAATTCCTTTACAGTAAAACATATATAAATTTTACTATGTCAAAAGAATTTTCAGATCCATTTATTTTAATTCCATGGTTGTTTTTTTTTCCTTGTCTGAACTTGAAGAAATATAAAACTTTCTTCAATTCAGCGTGGAAAAAAGTATACATTTTTTTATTATTCCAGTGAGGAAAATTGTGTTTACTCTGTGAAAAATACAGTATATCTTCTGAATTAGCGAAGGTAAGCTTTATTTTCTAGTAAGAGTTGGGCCTGGCTGGGTCTAACTGGTTTTCCTGATAGACTCGCTTGTTTCTCTCTATACCTTGAAAATGGTTCATGTATTCCCTGCTCTCTGACCTTGGGAAGGTGGCTTTTTGTGAGTCCTTTAGATTTTTTTATTGTCGTAGTTTTATGGAAGACTGATAATAATTGGTACCATTTAGAAAAATTCTGTGCAAGCTTATTTGTGACCCTTGAGTGACTATAATTCCTACGTTAGTTCTTTGCTTCTCAGTTTTTTAGTAGCATTGTTCATTGCGGTATGGAAAAGCACGGCAACTCAGCATTAAGAAAGATTCCCTGACAGTGATATTTGAGCTTGTCTTCCTTACTTTTTCTTTGTCTAGAATTCTGTATTCAGAGAAGTTGATTGCAGTTATTTCATATTAAGTGCATAAAACAACTCTCATTTAAATTCTACTTGTCTGACTGCTCAGTTATCTATAACCAGTAAATCTTCACTATTCTATCTAAATCTCTCTATAGCACTTTCCTACTCTTAGGAAAATTAAGATTACTCAAGGGGCTTGCTTGTAAGCACATTCCTTTAAAAATTGGTACTTTGACCTTCCTTGGAAGCAGAAGTGAAAGATATGGAAGCATTTAATTTTTTTTTTCTGGTGAGCTTTTTTATCATTCAGTTTTACTCTATTGTGATCAACTGGTTAAAATCATCTTGGATTTGTAGTTTCTTTCAGCTTCTGTTTGTTGTACATCAAAATTAACTTTTGTAGTATAGCAATGCTAGAAAATCATAGGCATGTAATTGTTTCTTTTCTTACTAATGTTTTGATCTATTCACAATTCTGGTGAATACTTTTTGTTCAGTTTCACAGTATTTTTCATTGCTAGAGGGATTTCTGAGGCATATAGAGTTGTTTGTTTCACATGTTATCTCCTCTTTCCAGTTCTGACAGCTTCCCTGTCTTCTGTGTGAATCCTCTGCCTTCGACTGACTATTTTGGTTCCTCCAGAATTTGTGTCTTCTTGTATGTCAGGATCTGGATTCCTGCACCTCACATGAGTTGCAGTTCAGCAAAGTATATAACTATACATCTAACTATAGAGAGGTACCTCGGTAGACTGCAAGTTTGACTCCCAGAAACTTAGTAGGACGTTAGCACCTATCTTTTTCTGAATTCTGAATTAAGCTTTAGCACTAAGGAATTGATTAATTGGAGTGTTGAGTTAGGACCTCAGCTATCCTCCTGTCTGTTTGACACTGTGAGAAATACCATTGTTGATTTGGATAGTTCTCTAAATCACAAAGTCATGACAACTCCTCCAGATTCATGGTGTTTGCTTTCCTTGGCATATCCCAAAAACATCCTTCTCTGTGCAGCTGCACCTGTGATATTCCAGCAGCACTCTTTGTTCCCAAGCCATTATGTCTTCCTACTCAAATTTCCATTCAAAGAGTGATTCATGCAGCAGGGGAAAGGCATGACCTAGCTGCCCCCTCAGTTTCCATCGCTTTGCAAATCATGTGCAGTCACATCTGAACTGGAGCTTTCATTTCAGACTTCTCTATTCCCAATCCTGGAACTAATTCTTTTATTCTTTACTCCTGCACCAGAGAAATGTTTGCTGCATAAAGAGGCTTTTTAAAAAAGAAACCAAACTAGCTTTGGTCATAGGAGCAACAAAAACACATCAGCAAGGATTTTCTTCCCGCTAGGAATGCCTTTTCTCTCAGCAGATGAGTTCATATGGTTGTTACCTGTGCCATAGCTACTAGGCAGACAAAGCACAAGTTTGACTCATTCTACCAGCATCCTCTTTTTTTTAATAATAGCTTTCAAATTCTGAATGTTTGGTTCTAATGTCCAGCTGGAGAGAATTCCATGCCTCCACCAACAATCTGGACAAGAGCTGCATGCTCTTCAGACATTCTTTCTAATGCTTTTGATACCTTCCATTGTCCCCTGGACCATTTTCTTCTTCATCTTTTGTTACTATCTTAAGCCTTTTTGTGTCTCCTCTTGAACCATTATTCCTCTGTCATCAAACCCACTCGTGTACAACTTCTGTCTCCTTTATTGTGCAGTAGAAGCATTCCCTATTTAAGAAAGTTGTTAAAGTTTGATTTTTTGTTTGTTTGTTTGAATTTTCCCTTGCCTGAGTAGCAGTTCTGGGTTTACAAGACTGTCAGGATTAAATCATGTTCCCTGAGACTTTTGGGACTCCTGCCAGTGGCATGGAAGATGCTGAAGAGGCATCAAGACCCATCGTAGTCTACCTGTAGGTGTATTTTCTGCTGTTACAGTTCCCAGTGAAGCAAACTCTTTGGCTCAATATGTGTAGTGTAATAGTACACAAAATAGTTATATGCCTGCTAAGGATCTTAGAAGACCCAGATTAAGGAAAGAATAGTGATTTTAACAAGTACTTGTGCAGTGAATTAGCTACCATAAGTAAAGAGGTGAGCTAGACAATCAACCTTCTTTTTCCCCATGTGTTGCATGACATAGTGAAAGCTTAGTTTCAGCTAAAAGTTAGTATAGCATCATGAAAATGGGATCAGTAAGAAGGGATATGCTAGCAACAGTTCAAGCTATAGTAAAACTTCATGTTTACTTAAATAAAATATCACTATTTTAAAATTATCTGAAGCGGCCAGAGCTTGCAATAGAATTCAGAGCAAACTTGCTAGAGAGTATGTACGACCATGGCATGCTTGCTAGAAATATTGGCAAATTAACTTAACTGTAACAGATTATATTTCAGATTTGCACTTTTCATGTTATTTTGGTTTGGTACTTGCATTACTTTCTTTTTGAAACTTTTAAATCCAAAACTATTAAACATTGTTTGCACCCTGTAGGCTTGCTTTTTGTTAATTTTGCATTAATAAGGTTGCATTGCTGTTACCTAGATGTGACTTTCAGTTTTGTGTGGATTGGCACCAAAACCACCAAGATGGTAGTTTGTTCCCCCTTCCCCCCTTTTACTCAGTGGCATAATTTCCATCCAACAAAGCTTTTCAAAAATAAGGAAGGAAAGGGCCTTCCTGTACAAGCTTCCTGTGAATCCCATCCAGATATAAAAGACTTGTGTAAAAGCTTGGCAGGCAATCCCAGCATATGCCACTTAGTGACTTCCGTATTTTATGCTATCATTCCACGTACAGCAAATGAATCTGAAAACCAGAGT